TTTAGAGTCCAGCCCAAATCTATCCAGAATTATGCTAAGCTCGGTCCCTTGTTCGACAGGTTTGAGGCACCATGCCGAAAACATATTCCTGAATATAGTGTCCAAGTATACGATACAGAATATGATATTGTAGCATATAGGTGATAAGTTATTGGATCGTATGTTGTCAGTTGGGCCCTCCTGCAAGGGCAAGGTAGCAATCTCCCTGCGCTTTAGCTTCGCCTTCCAACCTGGCCGCAGAACTCGTGGACAAATCCACGATAAGAACCAGGAAGGCAAACAACAAACAGCGCAAACGATCGGTAGAAAAAACTCCGGTATTCCACACCATGAGAACCGAATATATTTGCATTACTATGGGAATTTTGGAAAGCAAAATTGATATCGCGAATATACACCGTACCTAGCATTATTTCGGCTATTTATGACTTCAAGATTGTGATCCCCGGAAGTAGCTGCGCCTCTGCCGGGCCCCACGCAAGTGGCAAAATGGTTGCAGCAACAGGACTACTAAAGAAGTGAAAATCGAATTGATTAGGGCATCATTAGTTTTGAGAAAACCCAATTCGTGCTTGCAAAGAATTTTTTTCTTTTCATAATCCTTCTGTGGAAGAAATTGTCTCCAATATACACACAATATTATGCAATATCCATGATGCTTGCAAAGAGCACCGTATAGTCTGATATTGCTAGTTTGCATAACGCTGTCTCGCATTTGCCAATAATGCCAAGACCTTTTTTTGAAGTTGCAAAAGGCAACTCGAGCAGAAGGTCATTCAGAACATGGAGCAAGTGACCGGCGCAGTCACAACAAGTCAGAATGAAAAATGCATATATATATATATTCAAGCATTATTAATGCCATTCAAATGTATTCTATCAAAGCATCAAACACAAATATTGAATTTGCGACGCGCCCACGCGTGTAGCTATTAAAAATAAAACATTATAGTAAGGCCTCATTCCCTTGCGCATGCGTCCGAACGTTGCAGCGGAAAGCGCTGGCGCACGCGTCCAAGAAATGTTCAATAAAAACATAAGCCCGAAGTGAAAAATGAAGACCCAAAATCGGTCGTTACGAACAATTTCGATATAATAAATCAAGGCTATCTATGGTGGACCAAGCGGAATTCGAACCTGGGACCGATAGCGTCGGAACGTAGCGGAATTATTTAATGGTTTCTGCCGGAAGACAAAAGCAAAATATAATCGAAATATATAAAATAATCCAATTATTAGGGGGGAATCCGAATCGCGACGGAAGCCGTAGACCAATTATGAAGGAGCCAAAACTAACATGCAAAGACGAAAATAAGAGAAATAATCCGATTATTTCGAACATTATGCTTCAAAAATCCGCGTATTTTTGCTCGATCGCATCCTATCCGTAATATTACAATATAAATCAAACAATTAGAATATAAAATCCACATATTTCCCTAATAACAATCGGCCCCTAATAACCTCCAAATTTTAACCAATAACAATAATAACCTCCAAATTAAAAAAATAATTTCCAACCTAATAATAATTACTTCCACCCCAAGAACGATATACAATATCTATATAAAAACATATTCTAATTATATATAAATAAATATCCATCATAATAAAAATTTAATATATTTTTTTAAAACATAACTATATTCAAATAAATTTAAATATTCTATTTAGATTTATACCTTTCAAATAAATATTATATTTAAAATTATTTAATTATACATATTATATAATAAAATATCAAATATAATAACCAAATACATATTATATATTATTTTAATCTAAACCATCTAAATATTTTATCAAAAATTAGATTTAATATAATCCAATATTTTAATTAATACGACGAAATAAAAATATACATTTTAAAATAAAAATAAAAAAATCCTAAATCCTTAAAAATTTTCCTTATTTAATTTATATTATCGATTTTTTCGATTCTAATTAAACATATTTCTGAAATAGATATCATTAAACAATATAAAATATATATATTTATTTATAAATCCATAATTTAAGTAATTATCAATGTATTATTAATTCAATTTATATAAAAAATATTAACCAATATAAATTCAACAATTTTATTATATACTATAATACTCGGATCGGTTCGCTGTTTCCAACAACGGAAAAATACGATCCTAAAAAATGGAAATCGAGAGATCAAAAAATTGATACGCCACGGACCTTTTTTTCCTTCTTGGCCGTCAATAAGGAACATGGGTCTGGCTTCCATTCATCGTATCAACGATTCTCATGCCCGGCCACGACAGTGGCACTCGCTGCCGCCCGGTTCTGTTGCAGATTTCATCGATGACCTTCTGCAAGTTCCTTGTCCCCTGCAACAACCTTTGTGGCGGATAGCGAACAAGACAAAGGTCAGTGCCACAAACCGCAACCTGTCCAGCAGCACCTTCATACTAAGGCCCTAATACGGAAACACATACATGGGCCAAAGCAGAGACACAAAGAGACAGAGAGACAGAGAAACAGAAAGACAGAGAGACACAGAGACACAGAAAGACAGACAGAGATAGACAGAGACAGAGACAGGGACAGAGACAGGCAGACAGAGAGAGACAGAGAGAGAGAGAGAGAGACAGAGACAGACAAAAAGAGACAGACAGAGAGAGACAGAGAGACAGAGACAGAGAGACAGGCAGACGCGAGGTACATATGCCCGGCTCAATGCCTTTGACAAATGCGAGCAATTGGACAAGCCCCAATGGCTCCGATTCCTGCCGCCAAATGCCGATGACCAATGGAGAGACGACTTCCAAGCAGCCACACGCTAAACTGGCAAAGCTCGAATGACAGTGGGAAGGGACTGCTATTCTGCTGTCTCAATTTTGTGAGCCAGGTTCAAGAAAGCTCAGGCTAAGCCATCAATTCGGCCCCAGTAACTGCGTTACAGTGAGCCTGTAGGAATGAGAGCCTTAGCTTTCGCTCCTAAGAGGCGGGTGGTAGAGAATGGTAATGGACGGTTGCCAGCAAAACCTTAGTTCTCCTTGCAGCGGCCACGCCATGACCATTGCTGTACAAAGAGGCACAAGTACCATGCTAGGATAGGTCCATGTTTCACTGGTTTCACCCGGGAGCGCGAGAGAGAGACAGAGAGAGGGAAAGAAACAGCGAAACGGACATAGAGAGACTAAGCAGAGACAGCGCGAGAGAGAGAGAGAGAGCACGACATAGAACGGGAGAGAAACAAAGCCAGACCGCGACACAGAGAGAGAGAGAGAGAGAGAGCGAGAGAGAGAGAGAGAGGAGAGAGAGAGAGAGAGACAGAGACGGCTCTCCCGAGTTGAGGTGTATCTTACACACACTCGGGCGGTAAGCCCCCTTCCACATTGAAGGATGGTGCCAGGCTGCCCGAAGTCCCGGCCCCCGTCGCCTCATGTCTCTTGCCTCTATCCCCTCTACTTTCTCCCTATGTTGGGCCGGCGCCCGGCTGTCAGGCGTAAGCCCTTAAATCCATTCCGAGTCCAGCCCAAATCCAGAATTACGCTAAGCTCGGTCCCTTGTTCGACAGGTCTGAGGCACCATGCCGAAAGCATATTCCTGAATATAGTGTACAAGTATACGATACAGATTATGATACTGTAGCATATAGGTGATAAGCTATTGGATCGTATGTTGTCCGCTGGGCCCTCCTGCAAGGGCAAGGTAGCAATCTCCCTGGGCTTTAACTTCGCCTTCCAACCTGGCCGCAAAACTCGTGGACAAACCCACGGTAAAAACCAGGAAGGCAAACAACAAACAGCGCAAACGATCGGTAGAAAAAGCTCCGGTATTCCACACCATGAGAACCGAAAATGTTGGCATTACTCTGGGAATTTTGGAAAGCAAAATTGATATCGCGAATATACACCGTGCCTAGCATTATTTCGGCTATTTATGACTTCAAGATTGTGACCCGCGGAAGCAGCTGCGCCTCTGCCGGGCCACACGCAAGTGGCAAAATGGCTGCAGCAGCAGGACTGCTAAAGAAATGAAAATCGAGCTGATTAGGGCATCATCAATTTTGAGAAAACCCAATTCGTGCTTGCAAGGAAACTTCTTTCTTTTCATAATGCTTCTGTGGAAGAAGCTGTCTCCAATGTACACACAATATTGTGCAATGTCCATGATGCTTGCAAAGAGCACCGTATAGTCTGATATTGCTAGTTTGCATGACGCTGTCTCGCATTTGCCAACAATGCCAAGACCTTTTTTTGAAGCTGCAAAAGGCAACTCGAGCAGAAGGTCATTCAGAACATCGGGCAAGTGACCGGCGCAGTCACAACAAGCCAGAATGAAAAATGCACATATATATATATGTATATTCAAGCTTTATTAATGCCACTCAAATGTACTCTGTCAAAGCATCAAACACAAGTATTGAACTTGCGACGCGTTCACGCGTGTAGCTACTAAAAATAGAATATTATGGTAAGGCCTTATTCCCTTGCGCATGCGTCCGAACGTTGCAGCGGAAAGCGCTGGCGCACGCGTCCAAGAAATGCTCGATGAGCACATAAGACCGAAGTGAGAAATGGGGACCCAGGATCGGTCGCTACGAACAATTTCGATATGATGAATCAAGGCTGTCTATGGTGGACCATGCGGGGTTCGAACCCGGGACCGACGGCGTCGGAACGTAGCGGAATTGCTTAGTGGTTTATGCCGGAGGACGAAAGCAAAATATATGAAATAGTTGGATGATTTCTTGTATTTGAAAATCGAAATGTATGAAATAATCCAATTATTGGGGGGGGTCCGGACCGCGACGGAAGCCGTAGACCAATTATGAGGGAGCCAAGACTAACATGAAAAGACGAAAATGTAAGAAATAATCCGATTATTTCGAGCATTTTGCTTCAGAAATCCGCATATTTTTGCTCGATCGCACCCCAGTCCGTAATATTAGTAGTAATTATAATACGACTATATATATATATGTAAGTATTTGACCACATCAACATCACATATGTAATTCTATTTTGTATATTTTAGTATTATTCTTCGTCGTCCATATTATGTTGTAATGGCAACCTCAAAATAGAATCCCATCAATATCTAATTGAACATGAAAATTCTTTTAAGCTTTATGACAACCCGTCAAAATGATGACTGATTTTAGCCCTTGAATATTGTCAATGAAATCCTTTGCAATCCAATTCTGAGGGACACGTTTAGTCATCTCGCTTCTGTGTGCCCCACGCTGCCGTTGGTCCCACATCCATTTCTCCTTGGGCATTTCGCGCCACCACCTAGGTGGATGAGAAATCGTCTTCGCCTTTTATCCTTGCATTTGGAGACCTCCAATTGAAACCCGCTGAAGTAGGATGTCAAAAAAGAGTGTGTTTACATGTGTTTACATGTCTGTATTGGCGGATTGAAGGCCATGTCATTGAATTTTCGCCTGATAAATCCAGTCTAGGATTATGAAGGTGAGCAGGGTCTGGTGAATGCCGGGTGATGTCGGTCTGCCATCGCTTTACTGAACAAGTGCTCAACAATTGACAAGTGTAGCTTCCAGGAGAGGCGGGGGGTCCAGGACTTGGATGGACCGATGACGCCGCAATTTCCACACTTTTGGGCTGTGTCCAGGGCCCCAAGCATCCTGCGTGCGGACGGGACCTCGACATACAATGAATACCATGTATTGCAGGTTTAAGGCAGCTATCGAATTACAGTAGTAGGTTAAGGGCTCGTTCGTCAAGGGAATTCACCAGCCAATCACTCCACATGCTCCACCAAGAAGGTCAGGCCAAACCCCGGTGCTTCGATGCACTGACCCCGGCTGCATCCGTCTTGTGCTCGGAAGCTGGGTGAGCAGTCAACGTCCATCGGGTCACAAAGGGGGCCTCCGAGGCCAGCTGTCCTCGAATGTTTAGATTCACTTTGGAGGCCATTGCTATGAGGGTGGAGGCCATCGCTATTACTGTAGGTTTCACTCTCATTCACTCTCCATACACTTGCAACTAAGACTAAGTTGTGCCACCAACTCCGGTCACGCGAAGGCTATCATTATTTTTGTCCAACCACGGGAAATGATCACCGGACCCAGCACAGCAGGACGGCTCTTTGGGTCCCCGCACCATCACAGCCTGCATACAGATTGGCCAAAGAGATGTGTTGATTTGCATCCCGAGACTCTGGATGCCCCATGCTTTTGCCATGTGCTGAAGATTGGTCCAGTCAATGGGGTGCGGCAAGGGCTGCAGATTTGAAACAAGACTGTTGTAAATCGAGGAGACAGGCTCAGGGAAGCAATGAAGTGAGTAAGGCTGGCTGGTATTAACATCTATCTTGTTGGCAGTTGAAGTCGTAAATGAAAAGCCAACCAGCAATCGCAACGGCAAACCTTTCAAGTCCTAGCGTTTTCCCCCCCCCAACACACACCCAATTCATGCAGGGGATCAGGCTTGACCTATGCTTTCACCATCACTTTCAAGTGATTGTATGCCCAGATCAACCAGGCCTTCAACCGCTACAAGAAGAAGTAGACGAGGAAGGAATTAAGAAACTAATTGTATAACCCATCAATACACAGCTACGTCGCAGGGAACACTATGGTACTCCGGACACAATTCTGAAAGGTCTCATTCTTCAGAATCCAGGCTCATCAACGGTTGATCCGGTTCTGAAAACAGCATGTATTGATTGGAACTTATAGCGTGTATCGATTGCCAGCTTTCCGGTTGACAGCGATGGCTGGAAAACCATGCCAAGCACTGCTCCACAGTAACCCGATTTCACATGATTTCATCGCTTATTGCTCTAAGCCACTGTCGCCAAGGGTGGTCTTGCTGCCGCAACTGCCGCCAAGCTGACCTGGGAAGGCTCATGGGTCGGTCCGGAGCCTCTCACTGTTGTCGATGGTTCAATAGTGTTCCTAGGTGTTCCTGATCGCAACGTCAAGAGGAGCAAACTGCGGCACCACTCTCAATAGTTATATCAACATATTTTGTTGTCACGATGACAACCTGATGGTGCTGGCGGTGAACATGACAATGACGATCGTGATGCAATGTTTCCGCGCTGATTGAGGATGATGATACCGCAACGACTTGCAGTATGTCGCAACTCCTCTCAAACGGTTCATGAAACGGTCATGCCCAAACAGCCTGCCGTTGATACAACACATGGTCCTGATCATATCTGCTTATTCAGCCGGGCATGTACATGTGATTCCTTTGCGGCTTTGCATCTATGACTTGTGTGTGTGACTCCGGGAGCAACACCAGTGCAAGTGCGCTGGAAACGACGCCGGTAACACGCCAAGATCAGGCCATTTAATTGGTGAAGCATTTCATATCAGGGAAGAACTGATGCGTGACTTCTGCCACTCTAACTAACTACCAAGGTATTCCTTCGCTGTTCAACAAACAAGTGTGCAGAAACAAACCAACTAAAATGACACCCAACATATTCAATCCTAAAATAAATATGTTATGTTCACTCGATCCTGAGGTCCTGTTTGAACTCCCAGTCACTTCGCCGGCCAGAAGCTGGCCTGATCAGTCTCCGAGGTCCATAGCGCTTTGCCCATCTTCTGACCCTTCACCACCCAGTAGAGCGCCTAAAGGAGACATCCAAAACCAATGGAGGCCGGGAAAAACACATGAATGAAGGCCAAGGTCTTCAGACTGTTGTGGAGATGTGTGACTCAAAAAGGAATGATCCTACTTGGTCTTGTGGACTTAAACCAAACACCCTGAAGCCCAAGCATCTTTTTTTAGGAAACTCTCATTTGACAAACCTGCAAGACACAGGTCGGCTACTCGGAAGGTCAGGGATCACAAGGCAAGAACTGCTTGGTCATCACTCTTTCTTCAAATCAAAGAAAGCTCATAAGCCGAAAGCCGGCAGGAAGAATTGCCGTAACAAGTACCTCGCAAGTGCCCATGGCCTGAAAATCCTGAGGTGAAATACAAATACAAGCATGCATGGCCGTTTACGAGTGTGTTTCTCATTTGTCAGCTAGCAGCTACCCAGGTCCAACTGTCACCTCAATCCTCACATGCAAAACGACCATCACATGAAATCCAAATGCGGGGGGCTATTGATCAAAAGTCTACATTAATTATATAGTGATACGTACAATAAATGTGTGTTATTGGCTTGGAATTGCAGCACAAGGACATGACAAACGTGTCTGCAGTGCCTGATGACACTGTCAGTTAAAGAGAAAAAACCACCCCTGGTCCCCTAAGACCATATGCTATCCGAGAAACTGTTGAACACTAACACAACATTCATAATTTGAACCCCAAAACAGGATGCAGTGACATCCGATCGTCTGTAGTAATCCCAACACCAAGTGAAAACAACACCATAAAAAGAAGACTGAAATCGGTGCTTCTGGGGGACCACTTCGGAGTTGCATTCCAATTCGGACACTGAATTCTCTCGTGGAGTCAAATGAAACGCGGCCTCAACTCATCTCCCTTCATCCAAGCCCTGGGCAAAGCCGCTTCCAGCGTCGCATGTCTCATCGCCTAACGAAGGAACCAAAACAGGCACTGGGCTGGATCAATCAACCGCCTTTACTTGTACCTAGGAGTCATCAAAGAATCTCAGCAACGAGCCATGAGTCATGGCCCACGACTAAGGTGCCGCGCCGTCAATCTGACACCGCCCCGGCTGGAAGGAGAAGGAAAAGGAGGCCACGCCTTGAGAGCACTTCTAGGAGGTCCACACACTTTGAGGATTCATGCTCCACATACCCTGCTATCTTTCTCAGATCACCCCTACACATTGAAATCATGTGACATCTGCGTTGCTCTATATAAACACCGTGACCGAGTGCTATTAAAGCCACTTGTGGATCGCTTGGTTGTCGGTCGCCGAATGGCTCGCTTGGGTGTTTCTGCGAACTTCCACGCCCGTCCACCCCGGACCTTGCCTGATTCCTCGCTGAAATCGTTGACCTGAAATCAGGACGATTTGGGCACGGTTTCAGCGGTGATTTGCGGGTCCCGGCTGAACACAAAGACCCAAGCCACGAGAAAAACGCAGAGCTGAAAGCGGTCGTGCAGGTTGCACAGGAGTTACGACCAGCACTCATCACTATTGTGAACATGTGGGCAATCACAGTAGCGGCCAGCATTTACCTCCAACAGTCCTAGCTACAAATGCTCCCACCAAAAGTTCCACTCAGCTTGTGCAAGGGATCCAGTCTTGGACCAAACGGAGCATTTTGTGGAATTCTATCAGATTGCTAAGAACACGCTCCCCCTGCTATGTCTGCATTATGTATGTATATTTTATATACACAGGTGGCTTGGCACTGTTGGCACCGCTCATAGAGTTTCTTGGGAAAGTCCCAAGGAAAGCCTTTACTGATCACTTGTCTTTTTGTCCCTGTCGACAAACACGACGGTTGAACAGTCAAGCGACGATGATGGACAAGGGCATCACTGTGGGAGGGCGGAGATCCTGAATCCTGCAGAAAGTTGTGGGAAGTGAGCGCTTTCTACCTAGGCCTTGGTGGAAGGGAGAATCTTGGAGCCCCCTCAAACGAAGGAATATGTTTTGTATCTAAGCTAATTGGAAGTCCCGAAACCTAGAAATACTGTGACCCACTCCGTAGTTGCAAGCGTCCACCAAAAAGGCACATGCACAAGGAACGCTAGGAATGCTAGGATTGCTAGGACCACAGGTGAAAAACCATACGCTGGAGGACAAGTTGAGATGAACTAAAGTAACCAATAAAACAAATCTTTACAGTCATTATCCCCTCTTTTGGTGTTTGAGAGAGTCTGTCCGATGTGACCGAGACTCGCCCATCACCAGGAAAGGGACATTTTTTTTGTGGCATTGGCATGCATTGGCTGGGAGAAACTCAACGTACCTACAGCTAGGCCTGTCAATTAATCAATCTTAAGTTTCTTCACCCGGCTTTGTAACCCGCGGTCTTGCAGCATGATTCATGTTGGGAGGAACTGATTCTATTTGGTTGTTGCTTTCTGCGCGAGACCTTGTCTCGCTGGCATAAGGAAATCTAGTCCCAGGTCTGTGTCTTGCCATTCAAAAGATTTTGCTTGCTGTTGTGGTGCTGACTTGTGGTTCATCTTTATGGACAAATCAGGTGAACTCAATGCTTTTCAGAAGAACTAAGGCTAAGGCCTTCTGCACCATTTTCCTATATAATTTTCTAGAACCTAGAAAACAATGCTGGATTGAACAATCATTGCCGCAATTGCCGGCTTTACATATAATACACCATGCCGTCAAACCAACACAAATCCAAAGTGCTCATGTTCATGCACGTTCCCTGGAAACCATCAGAACTACAGCAAACCTACACAGTGTTGAGCACCCAAAATGACAGCTCCTCAGGCTAGCAATGGGTTCAGAACCAAGCACACCTTCAGATGCAAGCGGACTGGCGGACTGCACTGAAATGTGCAGCGACATGCACAAGACATAAAACTTGAAAGGCAAAGTAACTACAGTAAGCGAAACATGTGACACATGGCAAGTGTGTAGCGGATGTCCCAGTTGTGTGTAGGTATGTTACAAAGAAATACAAAAAATGCATGCCCCAAGTAAAGGAATGGCAGTATTGGTAAAACTCGCTTGCCACACGGTATGTAAGGAGGTACCAGTATTTATAGAGTCAGAGCAAAGCTAATGACCGCAGCATGACATTGATCCATTGCCACAAGAACAAACCTAGAATTCAGTCTAGGACAGGGATGAAATATCTTGACCAGCTCGCCCACAACGCTCTACAATCATGTGGAGCAGGACCTATTCTTCTTATATTATCTTGAGGTGATGTGGGCTGCCTCCAAGAGAATCATGGATCCAAGGAATTCGATGTCTTGATCTGCCCCAATCATCTCGTTGACCCGGTCGCACTGCGGTGCCATACTTTAAGACCAGTGCCTGGGCCATGAGCAAAGGCCACAAAGTGCGTTGCACCCCTGGGCACCTGCACCTGAGCAATGGAGTCTATTGCCACCAAAAGTCGGGGCATCTTTGGCACCCAAAGACTAGGTAGCAGCGTCATTAATGACCCCGCTGTTGTTTAGCACTTCGCGACATAGTTCTCCGAGACATTTCCACCGGTTTGTCCCCATTGGTAAGGGAGCACATAGTCTCGAATCCTGGCACTGTCCATAGCGTAGAGGGGTTTCAGCTGTATGGGTGTGCAATTTGAACCAAACGTTAACATCCCACCCCACCCGCCCCACTCTCAGCACATGAAACTACAAAGTGTCACAAATACCGCACGAAATCGCGCGCAAACCCTCAAAAACAGCGGGGTCGTTAATGACGCCGCCAGCAAAGACTAGATCCTCAGTGCAACTGAAAGCAGCGCCCTGAAGGCCATTCACCTGGTGGTAAAACTTGTTGAAATCATGGCCACCTCGGATTTGAGCCCAGAGTTTAGTGGTAAAGGATTATAAAGGATGGCAAAGGTTCCTGTGAAGCCACCAGTTTTGAGGCGCAGCGGCGCAGCCCAGAAACATACTTTTGGATGTGTATATTGGATAGACAGATCGACGACCAGGAACAGTGTACAGGTGACATGAACTCCAGAATCACCCCATCCCCCCACGGCCCTGTTTTTTTCGTGGACGGCAATTCCAAGGACAGCTGCCGTCGGCGACTGCGTTCGTGGCAGAGGAAGCAAAAGGATTTGGGATTCAAATCCAGTGGAGTGAAATCAGCCTTCTTCCCCGAGTCTAAACGACTCCAGCTGAAAAGTTGCTCAGAAGCAACCATTTTTGGGACCTGGTCGCCACGATCCCGTCGCTTTTGTCACGACGTCGTGGGAGATCCGATCCACGGTTCTAGGGCCAGTCACCACAGGGCCAGGAATGCCAAATGGAGGGATGCACCAAGCAATAGAGCCTTAGGAGCAAGGACGCTACGAACGGGGCTCCTGGCCTTACTACTAGTAACAAGCAGCTACTAGGAACAAGTGCATCGCTTCTAGTAACAAGTGCAACAAGGACGCTGGCCTTACTACTAGTAACAAGCTCCTGGCATCGCTACGAACGGAGCAAGGACGCTACGAACGGGAACTCCGTGCGCTCCGTTCGTCCGAACTCGTGGTTTGTCGGTTCGGAGTCCGTTCACCTCGGTTCTTCTTGGGGTGTTTCCTCGGTTCTTGGAAGGGACTCGCGTGCTGGGCGAAATCCAAAGCCTACTAGTGAAGCCCGACTGGCACTTCAGCGTGGACAGTTCCTACTTGCATGGGATTGAGCTCAGAACGCAATCATTCCACTTCTGCAAAGCCCTACAATGATGGCCTCCAGGAAAAAACGGTTTTTGCAACCAGCAAGTCAATCAATGGTTTTATTCTGCCATATGTGCTCGCTCAGTGCACCAAGAAAAGAACAAAGGTTACGAACACCTCTACCGGTTCACAGTTTACCCTTGAACCGGCTGCATAGGACTGTTTAAGGACGCTCGCATCCACATCTTCTTTTATAAACTTTACTGTATTCCCAAGAAACGTTGCATATACATCTAAAATATGAGTATAAAAAAAGAAAGAAAGAAAACAAGCAAGCAAGTAAGCAAGCTAGTAAGGGCGAAAGGAAAGGAAAGGAAAGGAAAAAACAACTTGTTGTGCTTGCTCACAAGCGCTACTGTGGGCTAGCTGAACAATACCATCACGCACCCTAGTAGGCCCTGGCCCCCTCGAAAGCAAAGCACGGTAAAACTCGTCCAGGTTCCCGCGTGATAGAGCGTGTCATCCTGAGTTTTGATGCTTGATATGTGCTCAATTGCAACATAAACCGTGTGGGCCATGGACCAAGCGTGGTGGACTTGGTTCCGAAGAGAATGCACAACTACAGCGGGTTCCTTCTTGTGAAATGTGAACTGAGTGCTAGCAAGGACGTCGGCAACTGTTGATGGACACATCGCACATCTTGCTCTCCTATAGATTGGAACATTTCAACGTCTAACCAGTTCCATATCAAATTTGATATTCTTTGCTCTCTCTCCCTCTCTCTCTCTTTCTCTCTTTCTCTCTCTAAACACATATCAAAGTATAGTCAGTTTATCCACTGGAGAATGAGTGTCACAGCAAACCAGTTCCTTGCATAAATTATCAACTTCCAGGTTCCAGACTAGTTCAATCACTATGTACAGTAGTTGTTTACAAACCATCAAAACTCCAAGAATTGTAGAAGTCGTAGACACATCCCATGCACCAGCATGCGCCAACTGTAGTGAAACCACTGTCACTATCACTATGCAGCCTTGACAAACATCAGGGCCAAAAAATAATTATCACATGCACCAACCATGGGTTTTCATCCAATCAGAGTGGGGGATCAAACCGGCAGCGCTTGCGGATCAGCCACTCAGAGTCCTTGAGATTCACCAAACAAAGGTAGAAAATAGTCCTGGGCAATCGACCCGGCGCCGAAGACCCGACCGAATTGGCAGGTGATTTGACCTCAATGCTTGGTCGGTCGACATTGAAAGAGTTCTTTGGCATATATAGTCACCCAAGTCACTAGTGTCACTTAGCATTGGTCCGCTTCTGCGCGCAAAAAGGATGGATGATGGACCCCAAGGACTGCAAAAACCGTTGCAGTTTGGAGTGTTGTAAGATGTTGTAAGTGAATCAAGGTGGCCAACCTCATCCAACCTCTAAATCCACAACGCGAGAAGTCATGTGCTCCGAATCACTATACTCTAGAAACCCACATGTTAAAAGCAGTTCTAAACAAATTCCGAGCCTCTTTCGTTTAGTCCTACTCCAAGCATCTGACAATATATTACGAGACAATTCCTACTCCACACCAACTTGCGAATAGTGCGAATAGTTCGACAATCACCTATGTGGGGTGCCTGAGGGTAAACAAGTATCCACACTTGACGTGAAAAGAAATACTCTAAATCCGTAGTGTATATAAATTACTTTACTTCGAGTGATCCCCACCATGAAATGTCAATTATTCGTTTTCATGCATGGTGAGGAGCACGTTGCCATGGTCGTGGGCTTTGTGGTTTTGGATTTTGCTTATGGGTCCTAGGGCTTGGGACTGTTATTTTAATGTCAGGGAGTTCGCGTCGGGGTGTCCCCAGGGTCTCCAGTTGGCATCCAAAAGTGCTACCCTGTCGCCAGGGTCTCCAGTTGGTTGTGTGTTTGTGGCTGTGTTTCTGATTGTGTTTGTGATTGTGTGTTTGTGGTTGTGTGTGTGTGTGTTTGTGGTTGTGCTTGTGGTCGTGTCTGTGATTGTGTGTTTGTGAAGGTGTTTGTGGTTGTGCTTGTGATTGTGTGTTTGTGGTTGTTTGTTTGTGAATGTGCTTGTGGTTTGTTTGTTTGTTTGCTTGTTTGTGGTTGTGGTTGTGTATTGTGTGTTGAGGTCCGGCGGGGAACAGTGCCAGCCGGAGTTCGCGGTTGATGTCCGGCGGAGAACACTGCCAGCCGACGCTAGTGGTTGAGGTCCAGCGGGGAACACTGCCAGCCAAAGCTCGCAGTTGAGGTCCGGCGCGGAACACTGCCATCCGGAGCTGGCGGTTGAGGTCCGGCGCGGAACACTGCCATCCGGAGCTGCCGGTTGAGGTCTGGCGGGGAACACTGCCATCCGGAGCTGGCAGGCGGCCAAGGGGGGAGGCGGAGGAAGGCAGCTGACATAAAATCTAACAACCCTCACCTGACAGGTGGGGAACTATCTACTACATGGAGTGAACATCCGCACAAATGTTCCAACTACCAGTACATGGAGACAAATCCTGCTCATCCTGCTCCAAAATATTCGTCCAGCTGCCATTCGGGACCTTTGCCGAAGCTTTGCAATGGTCGCGAGGCCAAAAGCCATGGCTGATCACCCAGCAACATCTGGCCAGCCGGCCTCAGCTCTCCTGGCGCGTTGGTATAGCCAAGCTAGAGGAAAAGATTATCAAGAGAAATTGATCATTGTTATATTTATCCAATAAAGAAGCAACATGAAGCTCCACCAAGCTTTGACTTGGAGCGACGCTCAAAGAGGAAATCAAAACTGTTGGGTTCCAACCGAGTGCCAATGCAAGCCTGAGAAAACTTATGTTGCTGACCGCTAGTGGAGCTTTGGCCCCCTAAACCTAGTAGCGTCCTTGTTCTTAGTAGTAAGGTCAGGAGCCCCTAGTAGCGTCCTTGCTCCTAGTAGCGATGCCAGGAGCCCCTAGTAGCTTCTTGTTCCTGGCCCCCAAAAACAGCGTTGATTTGAAGCCATTCAGCTTCTGGCCGCGCTCCTGCTTGCAAGGCTTTCTGCTCCAAATCTCCGCTGGCGCCGTGCCATGCCAACATCGTTCGAAGGCGCTTGGAAGGTCCAGAACCCATTTCTGCCGTTTCTTGGAAGCGGCCCAAGAGGCCTCACGGGGAACGAACCCGGGCTGGCCCGGTTCGCTCTGAGTCGGTCTGCACCTTTTGCGTTCTGATTTCGCAAATGATTGATGTTTCATTAGTAAGCTACGCTTGTAACTGATTCCAGCAACCAGGGGAAGGTCAGCAACCTTTGCGAGTGCATATCAGTTCGAGGTTTGCATCAATTTGATGAGCAAGACCAGTTGTGTGAGGCAAGGCTTGGCAATCTGAACAGCAATTGCTTGGATTTGCTTGGCAAGCATGATGTCAAACACCGACTGATACCAGCACCGAGATTCTGAAAGACTCACATCAACGGATTTTAAATTCTAAACAAAATAATACAAAAGATTGGTCTTCAAGAACTTTCATTTGGGCAAAGATATGAAGAGTATACTGTGAACATGACTTCGCCTCGACCTATTGGAGTTGGAAATGCTGAGACAGCCGCTTCCCACTCATGGAAGTAAGTGAGCTGCCTGGACAGCGGATCCTCCAAACATAGAACTCTGAGGACATCACCTCATACCTGGCGCCAAAAACAGGCCGGGAAGCAGCGATACTTTTCACACACATATATAATATCAACAATGCATCCATCTTCTACAAATCTCAACCAAACATTCAGCAGGGAAACCTGGCATGTTTCCATTCATTGACTTTTGTAGGGGTTGAATCCTACTATATTATTTACCTTGATCATTCTTCCGCTTCTCCAAGGTCTTGTCCCCGAAACGATCCAACTCGCAGTGATTGATGTCCCGATGATCCCGGGGGTGAAGACCTGCTTATATGGAAAGCCAAGACCCTTTTCGAGTGTCAAGTAGGTGTGTGAATTGAAGATTCCTCCAAAGTAGTTTCCTATCGCCCACACCGCAGAGATCCTTTGAAGGGAACTGGGAAATCTATGGGACCCAAAAGAGTACTCCCTGTGCTGGCAAAGTGTCTACAAGGTGGTTTCTTTCCAGTGCCTTGATTCAGTTGAGGGTGTTGGAGAATGTTGGAGAGATCCTTTCAGGAGAAGGTCTGGTCTTGTTGGGCAACAAGTTCGGCAACAAGCTTTCTGAATCTTGAGTACACGAAGTCTCAATGTTTATCTGCAGCAGAAGGTTTGAGGTCTTCAAGTCAATGAGCAACCAAACCTCGTGGCTTCCCAAATTTTCCGACCAAGACAACCACAAGCTTGGCTTCGGCCGAGTCTCTGATCTGCGAAGAGCGAGAAGTAAAAGGCCTCTGAGGTCCAGAAGCGTTTTCAAGCCAAAACGTTCCATTCTACTAGCTACAACGAGCGGGCAAAACAATGATGCTGGGAAAGGGTATTGATGATTTGTTGTGCGACACGTGACGGCGTGGTGAGCTGTGAGCTTTGATGTGGTGACGCGTGATGATATCTACTTTTTGATGTGGCGATGTGTTGAGTGGCGAAGTGCCATGTCAGTGTCGTAAAATGTGATCTTCCATTCCATGTCCCAATGGAATTACGAGCCCTGACACACCACAGGGCAGCAACGCTGGGGCCCTGGGGTCACGATACTGTCCTCAAGCCATCCGCCCGGAGCGGCTTCGTATGCACTTCTGGCAGATCATTGTTCAAGCCTGGATGGTCTTCAGTCCCGCTCTGATCGCTCGGGAGCAGCGGCATGTGAACACACTTTTCAGGCCTCAGAGGACTTCGCCTGGGTCTTGTGCATCAAACGCTCAATCCTCAGAGGACTTGTCAATCTTAGAACAAAGGCCAAAACAAACGGGTGACGCACCAACCAACCAATTGGCCAACGGTGGAATTTCAAGTCAAGCATCGCGGCATTGTGCTTCTCGTAGTAGGCCATGTACCTCAGGACGTGTCAAAGGTTGATCCCACTGTCTGAAAGTTGAAAAACGTCACCTTGTCTCAGTCTTATGTTCAGTCTCTTGAAAAGGGAAACCCAGTGTGGATCTGCTCAGGATCTCTGGAACAAGCCGTGCCGCCTCAAACGTGTAGCAGCGTAGCAAAACTACCCAGGCACTTGGGGTCCAGGCGCTTTGAAGTTTGCACAACTCTTCAAAGCGCCTTCCATTTCAACTCTTCAAAGCGCCTTGATGCTTTGCTGACCAGAACTGGAAGAAGCTTGAACGAATCCGATAGGGAATGGTCTGTAGCCGCTTTGGACCCCCAAAGAACTAAACTAAATGCGTGTTTCCCAGAGCCTGGTGGGCCTGATTTCCAACTGTGCAACCGCTATTGCTTACGATTACTATACGGAGGTCATTTCTCCTGGTCTCGTCAGTCTGGTGCTTACAAAAACATGTCATCTTCTTGATGTTGTTAAACCTTTTGTGTTTTCCTGATCGCTTCAATTTCGATCTAATATATGAGAATTAGAGAACAACTGTACTCAGTACTACTCAATACGGCCTCTATATACTGTGTTCTCAGAACTTCTGTGTGCTCACATCGTCTCTGAGGCCCATGTTGCAGCGGCAGCAAGGTGTCATTGATTGCCTCCTCCCGGCCAAGTGGCAACTGTTTCGCCCAAACCGCCTCAGGATCTCCTCACGCTCACGGTGACCGGGCAAGCTTCAGCAGTGGCGGTGGCAATGCTTGGCGGCAGTGGCGCCTTTGTTCGTCCACTTCTCGAAATGAACCTCTGGTCACCTCTGGCGCTCAGTCCACAGTCGTACAGATCGAGAGTCACAGTATTCGCATTCTTGCTGCTAATTGCTATTGGTGCGGGGCGTAAAAGGACTTTTGATATGTACACAGAACCATTGGGGTACATCAGTTTGCATGCGGAACAAGCTCATCCAGGTTCTAACCATCTAATCTCTAAGGACTGCTAGAAGCACCAGTGCCATAGGAGCTGAACGCCTAGGCCTAAGGTGACCCTGCCAGCTAATGCTGGCGATTGCGCCGAACAAGACAAGTCCCGAGGCATTTATTACAAAGCACTCAAGGTCCAAATTCACATGTCGGCAAACCAGCTGGATGTTACGGAATGTCACGGACATCTAAAAATCTATTGTCCATTGAACTGAATCAATGGCACACTTTTGTGCACCTCTGCCAACTACCTTGACAGGTTGTTGGTGAGCTCAAGACTTGAAAATTATGCTGGTACCACCCTCTGAAAGACAGTCCTGGAGCAACAGCCTGGTAGCTTGACCGGCTCAGGGCTTGAGGGGCTCTTTCCATGAAAGGTACAGAGGCCATTGCTATTATGATGGATCATGCCAGCATGCCTTGTCGGAGCATGCCTCTTGGTAACAAAGGACTCTTTCTTTCTCGAGCACCGGAGGTTGAAGCCTGTCGCTAGTTGCTGGAATTATACAACAACAAAGGACAACATACAAAAACTACTCCACACTCAGCAAAGTCTCTACTCGCTGCTGTACCTGCATAAGGTCCTGATTGTAGCACTCCCCTAGCCTGCGGTGAAGGTCCCAAAAGCTTTCTCCAAGCTCAGGATCCATGATCACTCGAATCGGCCAGCGAGAACCTTTTGAACACCGTGAAACACTTCTGAGCCTTAAGCCGCCGCAGCTCACAAAACCTCTCCAACTTGCAAACCCCTTCAACACAAATTAATCATATAATCATATATGACAATCTCGTAACACCTCAGTCTTTCAAGACCCACTGAAGGGCGCGATGGCATCATGGTTTCACCAATTCTGCATACGTCTTCACAAGTGTCTATCTTTTATGAACCAAAGAAGTGGACACAGCGCGATGTCCTTCTCCCCATGTCCGATCTACGGGGGGGTCCTGGGATGACAAACTCCAGGTCATTACACTCCTTGGCCGGTCACGAGCAGATCCGGCACGTGACCTGGTCCTTGCAGCCTTCCACAGGTATGTCTAGTGGTATCCAATGGGGCTCAAACCATCTCGAACTCCAGCCTTGAACGTTGAAGTCGAAATTGAAGTCGAAAAAGAATATCGATAGATTGCAGAAGTGCTTGCTGATCTAGTTTCATCTAGTTTCCATTTGTCTTCTAGTTGCACAATTGCACAACAGCGGGGGCTGTGCTGCAGACCTTCAATAAGCCATCCTGCAGGCAATACCCTTGTTGTCCTCTCGAATCAACATGTTGCCTCTACTATGAATAACTCCTCCTGCACATCTGCGACTGGCATTGGAATTGACCCATATACCTTACCGGAGGACCTTACCAATCCTTACCCAGCCACATCCTGCTTTGGGTTTTGGAGAATGATGCCTGCGTCTCATTCAGCATTCAGCCAAGCAAAGCAGTAGCACAGCCCGTAATTACTCTCGTGTCTTTCCGCAGCAACCAAGCGGTGCATGACCGAGTTAATCTCTCTTCTAGTCTATATATATGACTCAAAGATCTGCCAATGTCCAAAGCATGCTCCTTGGGATTCTGGGAATTTTTGTTCATAGCGGATCCCCATCCATCAATGACCAAGTACTCAACAAATCTGGCCTGCGTTTGAAGGTGAACAGCAATTGGGGTCCGATGACCAACCGCCAACATGCCAGTTGAACTGGTCATCTTTGATATCCACTGTAATAGCTCTTGCCATGTCCCCCATTCTGTTCACGCATGTTCTTCCTGGCTAAGACACTTGCCCAAATTTGTCTTGCAATCCATGGCGCTGCTGGCAGATTCGAGACATTGGATCCCAGCAACTTCAAAAGCCTCGACGGCGCGAACGAGTAAGGACGGAAGGAGTTCGATCAATCGTGGCAGCAAGTTTGCTCCTTCTGTGAAGAGACCCTGAAAAATTCTCTTGAGGCAAATGATGTCGGTGTGATAGTTGGATTTCTAGAGACTGAGACTGGCTGCCGGTTTCGAAACAGGATCCTGACTTGTAGTGTCAGGCAGCAGAACATATATGGATCAAACCAGTGGTCAATCCCCATGTATAGGTTCAAGTTAATTGAGGAACAAAACAACAAATTCCATATAAAAAGCACAGTACCCACGAGTATCAGGCCACAAGCAAAGTAGTTTCCACATATCCCGCCAGTGTTCTTTCCTGTAACCATTTTTCATGAAACAATGGTCCTCAAGCAGGCAGTCTTGCATGCCATCCGGACTTCATCAAATCAACTACTGTATTTCATGAGGCGTCCTTCGACCAGATGTCTGGGTTACCCCTACAGGTTGGTATGAAAACTTATCGTTTCACCAGTGGAGTACATACAGTAAATTTCAATCTGAAACTCCTGGACATAAGCTCAACATGTTCTTTGTCAACATGTAGGGTTCCGAACCCGACTGTCCATGGCGGTGACACCTGTGCTTGTCAACATACTCACCTCACTCAAGTAAGTAGGTCATTCCACCTTGGTCGGTGGCCTGACGCCAGCAACATAGCTTGATGGGCTGATGTTTTATAATACGTTATAATTGTATGGTATAGAATAATATATATGTATAACAATGTGCATCAATGTGCACCTGTTTAAAACCTTTTTCAATCAAAAAAAGACGGACCACAAGGATGCATCTTCGGAACAGCAACTCATGCTGTGCTGGAGAGCCCCCAACATGGAGATGTGCACGATCACCCCAAAATGGGATTGCTTGGACAGTGCTGGGTTGTGGGTTTCCTCTATGAAAATGACAAGAATAAGATAGGTGGACGTGTACGCCCACTGGCTCTAACATTCACTGTGTGATTGCTGCAAACGTCAGGGGACGCATCAGCGTTCACCTAACTGGAGGTGAGCATTCTACTCCACTGGTGGAGGTGGGAAGTTCCCAAACGGGTGGACCGGACTCGCCTACAGTACTTTAAAGACCCCTTTTCGCTTGCTGAAAAACGACTGGGACCACTGCAAATTTTCCGACAGTGGGTGTTGGTGTTGATCCTCTCAAGGAGCATGGCCGTAGCGATACTGATCCAAAGACCCCACCAACATACTGTTGGCAACCAAGTATCCCTTCTGCTTCGCTGGGCACCAAGCACCGCGCTTCAGGACCTTGCTTCTGTGGCCCCTGTTGAGGTCTGGGTCGCCGTAGCCAAGCACACGGGGTGGCCATGGGGGGCCCCCAACTGCCGAGCCCGTTGGCTGAAATTACTAATTGCTTTGATGTCCCGAGGGAAACACGCGGATCCTCGGAGGCTTTGGAACTCTGGAGGTTGCATTCTTGGATTTTCAGAGTCTGAGGCCCACCGGAACTGATGGGTAAATCTTGGCAAAATCACTTGAGATCTCTTGTTGCAGCATAGTATGGATGTATCATGATATAAAGAATCATTGAAGTGACATGTGCAGTAAGTATGCAGATTCCTCACCGCAGCAAACACTTCCTTCTTACTTCTCTGAGACAATGCTTCAACAACACCTTGCAATGTTTTAAAATTTTTTAAACATGTTCAAACTCAGTACAAAATGTTTTTGGCGGTTCGTCTTTCACATTCGCCCAGGGATCCCCTGAACATGTTGTATTTCAGACTCCCACCACATGACCTCGACGTGCCCGACGTGCCCTGCCTGGCATCCAGCTGAAGCACTGCGTCCATCCTGCCTCCTCGAGTCTTTCGATGCGATTGGCCTCCAGTCGAGTGCAAAAGTCCTCCTCGTCGATGCCTCTGTGGAAACAGGTTCAAAAAAGAAACGCCCATGCTGAAGCACAACTTTTTCCTCACCCTGGTGGAATCCAGGAAGACAGTACACATCAATACTCATGCCACCGAGAAACGAAGTCGGCAACTTTGAGTGGAAGATCATCTACATATTCAAAACGGATTTAAACAAAGGCCAACACAGCACAGATGGTGCAAAAACCGAGATGCGGCTCGGAACATGATACGATGGCTACCAAACGTCACAAGTTAACAAAGCAAAATGCCAAGTTCCGATTCGATACGTCAAGATGCCACGTTCACCTGTGTGCTCCCCCAGCCAAGGTGCATGTTTTCTGATCCAACCCGAAGTGGCGGAAGGCCTTGCCAATTCAGCTGGTCAACGGAGACTCTTTGCGCATACAGGGATCAGTGAAGTCCTTGCTTTGTCACATCTTTTCTCAAGCCCACCCTGTAATTGCAAGTTTGAAGAAACCTAGAAAGTCCTAGCTTTTGTCTTGCCCACATGTAAACACTACTTCAAGTTTTTCACCACTTGCTGTCATCCATTTGCATCTATTTTCCCAATTACCCATGGCCCTTCAGTGAAACGCACTTGGCTGTGTTCAAATATTTTTAAGTATTGAACAAAGTAATGAACATATAGCTTAAACATATACGCTTAAACAATCTTAAACATGTGTTGTCCAGCATGAACACACAACGGCAACGCATTATTCATATGTATGTAAAATTTACTGTAACATGCATCAAACACCATATTACAACTTCCCACAGTTAGATTCTGCAAAGATGTTTTAGTGTTTTTTCCCGTTTGAGTTACGACTTCAACAAATGCACTGTACCCCATTACATCCTGAGGGCCTTCAAAAACGCCAGTAGACTGGAGACTGTGGGTGAGAAAAACATGATAAACACCCTTTTGGGGGAGTGCCCCTACTAACTTGGGATCGTATTTTTGCACTAAGGCATGATATGATAGTTGTATGCGTTTTGATCGAGCCATGGAGGGCAAGAACCCATACAAGCACTACGCCAAAAAATACATGCACTATCATGCACTTATGCAAGTGAATCAACACATCAAAGAGACGTGCATGGCTGGTGACAAAATGACCCCCTGCGGAAGACAAAACAGGAAGACAAAATCCAATAATTCACAAATGTGGAACAATATGAGAGAATGCAGCAACTGCGCACTGCGCGTCTTTCTACATATTCTATCGCCGATTTAGACCCTCTCTCCCACCCTCTGCATCGCTCTGCTGGCTTCGTTCCAGAACAAAAAAGAGAAAACACGCCTCGGCCAAAACCGTCGATGGGCAGTCGGGCTGAAAGGCACGGAAGAGGTTCGCCAGGTCGGGAAGGCCCAGGAACTGGGCACTGCGGGCACCGCAGCCCACGCCAGGTCCAAAACCCGGGTGTGGATGCAGGCAGGTGGTGGGTGGATGTAAGTGGTGTCTCTCTGGGTTCAAGGAGAAGTGGGCATTGTTTTTCTTTTCTTGTTTTCACTGAGGCGGGTGGAGAAGCAAAGCGGCGTGGCAATACTGGCAGGGGAGATTGAATTGTTTCTTGAGCACCCACACCAAGGTGTCGTCATTCTGAAGTACAAAGGAACACCAGTCAGGTGGAGTATTCCCAAACATGAGCAACTGCTTATGCATATGGCATATGGGTTGTTCAAATCTTTGCCTTTTTGTCCTCTCCTAAAGGGTCATCAAAGCTGGTGGCGGCAAAAGTTTGTCCCTAAGCCCCTAAGAACCGGAAATTGCTCTGCTGGGATGCTTCATCGTCCGAGATTGCAAAAAGTAGACTCCTCCAAGGTTGCAATGTCACTCACTACAGGAAGTACCAGCTTGGTCTACCGAGTCTACCAGTTTCCCAGTTCCAACCTCTAAGAAAACACTGAGCGCTTGATGTTGCTCATACTCAGTCTACCACAAGGCCCCACCGAATCACCGGTGTCGCTCCAGGCGGCTCCGTCGCGGTCGGCGTCCAAGCGCTGGAAGAGTCGAGAAGCATCCGTGCCGGTGCTGGTCCTCGAAGGCCGCGAGCGTATCGGGCGCCCCCTGGAAGGCCGCATATCGGGTGGTCGTCCCAAGGGTGTTTTTTCAAGGATTCCCAAGGATGAGGATGATGAGGAGGTGTTCTTTGCATCATTATTCATTTCATTTTTTGTTGTTTTCCCTTAAGTACGATTGTACTTCTGGCAAGTTGGAGGAGTTCCCGAGCTTCGGTTCTGTTATTAATGCACCACCATGATCATCAATGATCGAGTGCAAGCATATAAAGAATGATATATAAATAGATAATGCAAGGACATGGCCAACTATATTTTTGACCTCTGAGGGGGAACTTAACCTCTGAGGTCTCCGTGAGTTGTCCCTCTTACCTCCATGCGAACCAGTCAAAGGACTCATAATGGACCAAACCCAGGGCGACCACAACACCGGATCAATCAGCAAAGCAATGGGATGTCCATTTTCTATCCTTTTCTCGGACTCGGACTCAGCTGAGAAAACGATAACAAGGGGAGGACCAGGTTCCTCTGACTTCTTGAGCTGTTCGGGTCGCCGGGTGGTCTTGATCAAAGGGGCATTCATGGTGGGCCACGTAGGAGAGATAGACACTTGTTTCATGACCAAAGCGAAGATTTGTTTGGCAAGTCGACTTTTGAAGGACATGACGGAAGTGTAACATGAGAATCCACGCAAGGTGTTGGTTTTGTTGTTCTTTCATTCTTTCATGTTTATTTTTACTTTTTTTTTTAAACAAAATAATCATGAGAAGAACAATTGCAAAACAAAAACAATGTGTAGACAACATTGCTAATGCTGTTGCTGCGACAGACTTGCTATCTTCATGGATCAGCCTAATTCAGATCCTTGCGACGCCAACCATGCAGTGAGGACTTGCTGCTTCGCATGTACTTCTCCATTGATGTGGGACGACTGGGAAAACAAAACGAACACTCTCCGGGCGATGCCACTAGCGGCAGTCCACATTACAAACACTTCGATGAACGTGAAAGAACCGGCGTCAAAACTTTGGGGTCTTTTTGGGCTTCGCCATCTTTTCGCACCCAGGCGATTGCCGGAACTGCCGCTGGAAACAAACTTGATTTGCCAACACACAGGTACCAACACTGCTATCACCACCATCACCACTACCTCACATAAGGACCCAGGTTGAAAAACAGCAGAATGCGTTCAACATCGTTGACACATTGAATGTGCTTTACAATGCTGTGGGCAGCCTATCAGAAACCCATCATGCTTATACAATCCGCCGACCCCACACCGTGGGGTGAGGCGTGACTGTCGATGTTAGCCTTAGCCTTAAGCCTTAGCCTTAGTAGCCTTAGCCTTAGACCTTAGACCTAGTCCTTAGCCTTAGACCTAGACCTAGACCTTACCTCCCCTACCCCTCCGGACCCTTGTTGCAGTGACGAAATCCCGCCCGGAACCCGCCCGGAAAGCGACCTGAAGCGACCCGGGAATTGTCCAAGACTCTGCCATCCCCAATTGATTTACATCTTGGGGCACCCTCTCGACCCGCGCGGGAAAATAAGCACGGTCCAAAATGGTCCTGGGCTCGAATCCCGGGCTGGTCGCGGCATGGTCCCGGCCAATGCCCTTGTTTGTTTCGTAGATTTTGTCACGTTTTCTGTTGGTTTATGAGATTTTCAAAGGCTTTTCTGGCATTTTCCTAGGAATGCTCTCGGCTTTGTCTAGATTTTGTTATGTTTTCGGCTGGAGGCTTTTCCAAGAATTTTCTAGCGCTTCCTCTTGTTTTTAGGTTCCCAGATTTCACCCAAAAATTGGTAACCTTTTGCTAACCTATGGAACTTTCAAAGGCTTTTCTAGCATTTTCCTAGGAATGCTCTAGGCTTTGTCTAAATTTTGTTATGTTTTCGGCTGAATGCTTTTCCAAGAATTCGCTTCCCAGATTTACCCCAAAAATTAGTAACCTTCTGGTCCCGGCCAATGCCCTTGTTTTTTTCGTAGATTTTGTCACGTTTTCTGTTGGTGTATGAGATTTTCAAAGGCCTTTTTGGCATTTTCCTAGGAATGCTCTAGGCTTTGTCTAGATTTTGTTATGTTTTCGGCTGGAGGCTTTTCCAAGAATTTTCTAGCGCTTCCTCTTGTTTTTAGCTTCCCAGATTTCGCCCAAAAATTGGTAACCTTTTGCTAACCTATGGAACTTTCAAAGGCTTTTCTAGCCTTTTCCTAGGAATGCTCGATCGATCCAGCCCAAGTCCGGGCGCCGATACTTGTGGCACTTGAATGTACCCTAGACCGATGGTAAATCTGGGAGGTACCCTGGGAGGTACTCAAAAAGTCGACTTTTTGGGTACCTGCTTTGGTGGTGATGGGTTGGGTCACCGGGAGAAACCGATCGATTCAGCATAAGTCCGGGCGCCAATACTTGTGGCACTTGAATGTATCCTAGACCATCGGCAGCGCCCTGCGGCCCCACAGGCCGCAGAACCCAACGCGTCACGGGGCTTGTGCAAGAGCTGACGTCCGATTAGAACCCACCTTTGCAGTTTGGCCTGCGAGGGGTCCTCGGTGATAGAGTGTGCCTGGACAGCAGGATTTCGACGTCCGATGGTAAATCTGGGAGGTACTCAAAAAGTCGACTTTTTGGGTATCTGCTCTGGTGATGCTGGGTTGGGTCATCGCGAGAAACGGATCGAT